ACGTGTGCATAATGCTCCATATGAACTTGAAGCGGGATCCTCCAAAGCTTTTCGGATCGCCTCCAAGTCCCCTTGATGTGCTTCTATAAATTTTCAAAGTTTGTAAGCACTATCAAAATGAACAAACTTGTTAGACATAGATGAATTAAAAGCATTTAGCAAATATTCTAACAAAATATTGTTCATTGTAAACATACGATGATCATTCTTATTCCACTTGGATTTCTCCAAAGTGGGCACAATATAAGCATCATCTATAATTTCCCATAAATCAAAGTGTTTAGATTGAACAAAAAGTTTAAATCTAACACACCATTGGGCATAGGGGAAATTATCTAATCTAGGAGCAATATTGATGGCATAACCTAAACCATGCATATCCATAATATAAAAGGCAAGCAAGATACAAATAAAGCTCAAAATTAGATTAGCACAATAAGCTAACTTGGATCTTTAACTCAAGGCGATTAGACCTTAAATCAAAGAGCACCAAGCTCTGATACCAATTGTTAGACCCTAGAGGGGGGGTGATTAGGGTCTTATGCTAATCTAATCCGATTTTATGCCAATTAAAACTAATTAATAAATATATTCTTGCAAGATAGATATACAAAGAGTTATGTGCAAGAATATGCAATATACACAAGGTGATATATCCTAGCAAAGAGGTATACTATATGATATATGCAAGGATATGCAAACACAAGGGTAACATAAACAAATGATATAGTGGATGAAATAAACAATGAGAGAAAGGCTATAAAGATGAACAAATATAAGTGCTAAGCCAAACTCAAACAAGCAATATGATCACGGAGTTCGGACCTTCCGTCCTACGTCTCCGCTCCCCACTCCCGGGGAGAAATCCACTATCAACCGGGTTTTCTACGTTCACCCGAACAACGTTTACACCTCACACTCGGTTTTCTAGCTAACCGAAAACTTTACAATCAACACACTATTGTAATCCCACTCTACACCCACTAAGTGTTGGACCTAGCCGTGTCTCCCTCAAGTGCTCGGTTACAACCTCTCCCTAGGCACGTCAACCGACGCCACTCCTCTTGGGACGATCCCCGACTCTCACCACACACTCCTCACTCGGTGTACAAGTGTATTACAAAGTGAATCTCACAATAAGCACAATATAACAAATGATTGTTCTCAACTATGGATGAGAACACAATTAAGCACAACTCAAAGTTACAAACTCTCACCACCCAACTATACTATGTATGTAAATACTAAAAGCTCAATGTGGGTGTGTGTAACAATGAGTAAAATGAAATCTAACTCAAATAGCAAACTAGCAATAATTAATATATGATAAATCAATAATGAAATTGCTAGGGAAAAGAGTTAGAAAACTTCTCTATAAACACAAAGAGAGGATGAGAAGATTTTGAGGATGAAATCCTCAACTGGTGATGCAAACTCCTCTTTGTAACAGCAAACCCCAAAAACAAACTAAACAAACTCAAACCCTTGTTTAAAACTTTCTTAAACTTGTTTTTAAAACTCTCTTAATCAGTTTGAAAAGATATCAGCAATGGGGTATATATACCCACTAGAAATCTCAGCAAAAACCCCCAAAACAAATGACAAAACAGCCCCCAGAGAAACAGCTCAGAAATAGCCGTTAGTAGCCAACGGCTATATTGTCGGTCGACCGAAAATCCTGTCGGTCGACCGATGAGAGCAAAAACACGAAGAAAACTTTCTGGACTAACGTCGGTCGACCGGAAATTCTGTCGGTCGACCGATTTGAGCTCTCGGTCGACCGGACCGGTCGACCGACGAACTCTCTGTCGGTTACTGAGCAAATGAACAATTTACCGGTCGACCGGTGCGGTCGACCGAAAACTGATATGAAAACTGTTTATCTGATTTTGAAATGCTGTTTAAAAATATCAAATAAATTCCAAAAAATGTAAAACTTTGGGGAATGATTGTAGACATGATAATAAACATGCTACAATGACTGGTTTCGAAAAAGGACTTCCCAAATGAAAAATATCATCATTTTACAAAATAGTCCAAAAACATGAAAACCTGAAAATTGATATTTTGATATTTTGACTTAAACAACATTTTGAAACCTTATGAAATGATTGTATAGACTTGATAAAAGATATAACATGTTGTTATGAAGTCTATAATCTAGAAATACAATATTTTCATAAATTTGCATATTCTATGCAATATATTCAAAACACTAAATATGATTTCATTAAATATAAGCTTGTTAAAGGGAAAATCATATATAGGCATATAAACATGAAACAAAATAGTATTTTCCAATTCTATTCATTTGTTTCATAGTAAAACTTGAAAACTATCAAACCAAAACATATATGTATATATATAACTATATATATACAAAATTCAAAAACGTGTATGTGTGTATATGATTGAGCTTAAAGTACTAACACACATAATATAAATTCCTAAACTGAATTACCCAAGCAATCTTGATTTTCAACGAAGCTCTTTCTTGGTAATCTTGCGGATGAAGCTTGAACTTGGATCTTGAACTTTGAATAGCAAGGCTTCACCGTCATTCCGCCAACCTCCATTGGATATCATCGTTGAAGCTCTATTCCATCCATCCTCCAACAACGTTGTTTGTCTACAATACATAAGAATGTACAAACACTAGACAAACAACATTAGTAATAAATTGTTTGTTAAACATCATCAAAACAAGAAGGCCAACACTTATGCAATACAATGTAACCTCACAAATTAGCTCAACAACAAATGAATGTTCTCTATACAAGGTGAGAACTCAAATAAGCCCAACTCTATGTTACGATCTCACATTCCCAAATATACTATGTATGAAAATACTAAAAGCTTAAGTGAGTGTGTGTAACAAAGAGAATAAATCAAAACTAAACTCAATATAACCTCTAGCTTAATAAAATGATAATCAAATAAATATATAAATGTAAAGCTAGATTGAGTTTAGAAAAACTTCTCTATATATCAAGAGAGATGGGGATCTGAAATGGAAAGCTCAAACCAAAGGTGATCTCCTCTTCTTGTGAAACAATCTTCACAAAACCAATTTTGTAAACAAAAACTTAAACAAACTTAAATCACACTTAAAACTTGTTTTTAAACTCTCTTGGGTAGGTGGGAATGATAAATGTAATGGGGGTATATATAGGATAGAAGAAACAACCTAAGAAAACCCCAACATCCCACTAAAAACAAAAGTTAGAAACTAGTCGTTACTATGTAACGGTAACATTGGCGGTCAACCGCAGCACCATGGCTGGTTGACTGTGAAAGCCTGAAGAATAGAGCAAAGTCTCTAGACTTTTTGTGATCGACCGTCGCGACCATTCCGGTCAACCGCAGACTGATATTTTAGATACTCAGGTTTAAAACAGAAATGCTAATTTTTAAACTTGATTTTAAAAATAGGAAACAAATTCAGAAAAATATAAAACTTTGAGAAATACCTGTAAATATGACAATGAACATGTTACAAACTAGTTTTCAAATAGCACTTCCCATTTGTGAAATCTCATCATTTTACAAAATCACTTAAAATACAAAATCTCGAAAACACATAATTTTGACATAATAACTTAAACAACCTCTTGAAATATTTGAATGGATTTATAGACTTATAGAAGATATAAAAATAGTGTAAACAAGTCTTCAATCCATAAACATATAATTTTGCAAATAAACATCTTTAATCCATAAATGAAATCTTTGTAAACAACTTATAAATGACTTTATAGACTTTTGGAAGATGTAAAACAATATTGTTAAGTCTATAATTCACAAATACATGTAAATATGAAACTAGTGTATATGTATATGAGAATGTATATTAGTTTCATATATAAACTTGTATGCTATTAAATCAAAACACACACACCACACCACACACACACACACACACACACACCACACACACACACACACAGCACACACACATATAATATATTATAATATATATATATATATAATAATTATATAATATATATATATATATATATATATATATATATATATATATATATATATATATACACACCACACAATATAATATATATATATATATATAGATTTTACTATATATATTTATATTATATATTAGTATATATATATATATATATATATATATATTATATATATAATATATATATATATAATATAATATATATATACTAGAAATATATATATATTATATATATATATAAAACAAAAAACCTGTATGTGTGTATGTGATTGAGCTTGAAGTATCTACACACAAGTATAAACTCCTAAACTATAAAAACTATACCCAAGCTCTCAATCTTCGATTAAGTTTGTCTTGGTAAACATGGATGAAGCTTGAACTTGAATCTTTGACTTGAATTGTGCATAGCTTCACTCTGGTATTCCTTCCATCCTCCAATGTATATGATCGTGTAGGTTCAATCCAACCAACCTACAACATATTGTTTTTCTAGAATAAACAAGAAAACACAAACACAAGATAAACAATATTAGTTGTAAATTATTTGTTAAAACATCATCAAAACAAAAATACCAACATAAGTTGCATGAAAAGTTGGATTGAATTGGAAATGAGATTGCGTAATATTAAAACAATTGATAAAAGTGTGCAAGAAATAGTAAACAAAGAGAGAGAACATTGGAGACAAGTATTATTAAGAATACTTGTTGTTATAAAAACACTTGCTAAAAATGGTTTAGCATTTCGCAGGGATAATGAGAAGATTTATCAAGAAAACAATGAAATTTTTTTAAGTTTAATTAAAATGATTACCGAATTTGATCAGGTAATGAATGAGCATATTCGACGTTATTAAAGTGGTGAATCTCATAAGCATTATCTCAGTCATAAAATTCAAAATGAACTGATAGGAACGTTAGCGGGAGAGATCAAACATATAGTGATCAAAATAATCAAAGAAACAAAATTTTTTACTGTTATACTAGATTGTACTCCAGATATAAGCCATGAAGAACAAATGACTCTTATAATAAGATGTGCGGATGTTTTAGAAAGTACAGTAAATGTAGAAGAGTTCTTTCTAGAATTTCTTAAGGTCGACGACACGTCAGGACTGAGTCTTTTTAGTGAACTTGAAGATGTATTTAAGATTCTGGAACTTGACATTTATAATGTAAGAAGACAAGGGTATGACAATGGATCTAATATGAAAGGAAAAAATAAAGGTGTGCAGAAAAGACTCCTCGAAGTAAATTCTAGAGCATTCTATACTCCATGTGGCTGCCATAGTCTTAACCTCGCACTTTGCGATATGGCAAACTCTTGTTCGAAAGCTATATCTTTTATTGGAGTGATACAACGTTTATATACTTTGTTTTCATCTTCTACTAAGCGGTGGGATATTTTCAAAGAGCGTGTTTCTGGTCTCACACTTAAGCCATTGTCACAAACACGGTGGGAAAGTCATGTTGAAAGTGTAAAAGCAGCAAGATTTTAAGCTACAGAAATAAGAGATGCTTTACTTCACTTGGCAAGTATCGATGGAGATCCAAAAATAAAGAGTGAAGCTGAGTCCTTAGCAACAAATGAAATGGAGAATTTTGAGTTCTTATTGGGTATGATTACTTGGCACAATTTATTATTTGCTGTTAATTCTGTTAGCAATTTTTTGCAAAAGGAAGACATGCAAATTGATATTGCTATAGATCAATTGTATGGGCTTATATTATTTTTTTGAAAAGTACAGAGAAAATGGATTTAAGGAGGCCATTACTGAAGCTATAAAGGTTGCATCTGAAATGGAAATTGAAGCTGTATTTCGTGAAAAGCGTATCATTCGCAGGAAGAGGCAATTTGATGAAAGTGCTACCGAAAAGACAATATTATCTCCTGAAGAATCATTTAGAGTTAAATACTTTCTATATATAGTGGATCAAGCTATTTCTTCTCTTAAGATTAGGTTTGAACAATTTCGGCATTATGAAGAAGTCTTTGGGTTTTTATTTGATTTGAAGAAATTCAGCATTGTTGATGATGCTAGTTTGAAGGCTTATTGTGCGAAACTTGAAGAATCTTTAAAGCATGACAGTCATTTTGATATTGATGGTGAAGATTTATTTTTAGAGTTAAAACTTTTGAGAGAATACTTACCAAGAGAAACAAAAAAGCAATTGATGTGCTGAATTATTTGAAGAAATTGGATGGTACTTTTCTGAATGCTTGGATTGCTTACAGAATATTGTTGACCATACATGTACTGTTGCCTCTGCAGAAAAAAGCTTTTCAAAGTTAAAATTGATCGAATCTTACCTTCGATCAACTATGTCACAAGAAAGATTGAATGGCTTAGCTATATTGTCAATTGAGAAAAGATCAACTATGTCACAAGAAAGATTGAATGGCTTAGCTATATTGTCAATTGAGAAAAATATAGTGGAGAAGCTTGATTATACAAGTTTAATTAATGATTTGTCAATTGAGAAAAATATAGTGGAGAAGCTTGATTATACAAGTTTAATTAATGATTTTGCATCTAAAAATATAAGAAGAGGCTTCATAAAGTGATACTTCTATTGGTTCATTGATCTTGTTTTGGGAATGAGAGTGTTAGGGTGTGATATGTAGGCCTTTGGCCAGAGTCGGTAGCTTAGGAGAACTACATTGTGTTTGATCCTTGGGGTTAGTTATAGCATCCATTGGTATGTAGGCAACCCTAAAGTTACTTGGATACAACACTTTATTTAAAAAAAATATTGAATATAAAGAGGGCTCCTTTAGGATTTTTGTTCAAGTTTTTGCCTAGGGCCCCCGAATGCTCAGAACCGGTCCTGAATTTACATAATATAGGGATCAACTCGAATTACACCAGCTATCACCTTAAAAATAAAGAAAAGTATGATCAAAATAAAGAAAAGTTTTTGGTATTCTTTACCTCTTGACAAGAAACATTACGATAATTCTTGCAATCATTGGTTTAACAATCAACCCATCACCATTCAAGTTTAATTTTAGCTTTTGAATGCTATGAATTTTTTGACATGGAAAAAACAAAGAGAGAGAGAGAGAGAGAGAGAGAGAGAGAGAGAGAGAGAGAGAGAGAGAGAGAGAGAGAGAGACACTAGTAGAAAACTGAGTATTGGCGACGGGGTATTGGCGACGGATTTGAAATCCGTTGCCAATACAAACATTGGCGACGGGGTTGTTCCCGTCGCTAATGTTTGTATTGGCGACGGATTTCAATCCGTCGCCAATGATTTTCCGTCGCCCATAACCTTGGGCGACA